CTCTCTCTCTCTCTCTCTCTCTCTCTCTCTCTCTCTCTCTCTCTCTCTCTCTCTCTCTCTCTCTCTCTCTAGCTTTCATATTACACAATATTTATAATACCTTGATAAAAATGTAGGTTAAAACTAATACAACTAGACTAACCAATTTTATAACTATATCATCATTTACAGGATAAGTTACCATTGTAAATTGAATAATTTAATTGTTGTTAAAATGAACGATTAATGCTGGTCACACTGACTATTAAATAATTTAGATAATTAGTCCTAATAAACTAAAAACTAATCATTAAACAAGAAAAATGTTACTTAATATCAAATTGATATAATTGTGCCCGGATGGTTTAAAATGTACAATATAGTGCAGTTTGCTTGTTGCGAAATAAGTATGATAAATAACTGCACATAAAAGTCAACATCATAACGCTATATCTATTTAATTGCAAATTCATTATGGATTATATCAAGTTTTATCAAAATAAAAATTTACCATGTTTACGGAGTTAGTTGTTTATAAAATATAAACAGGATTAGTTATACTATGATTATGTTAAACTATTGAAGTAAGGATAGTTTATCAAAGTATATTTTTGTGACATGATAATTTTTGGTAATAATCACTATAGTCAATTACCACAAAGTGTCAATCACAATAATTTAATTGTTAACATTCAGTACAGTTTAATACATTAAATAATAATAAATTATAAACAAATAATTATTACATTACAAAACTCGAGACATTAAATTCAAATGAATAGTCATAAAACATAATTCAAATATAATTTATAAATTCAGTATCAGTTTTAAGCTCTGAGTAAACACTTATTTTTTAATAATACAAACTTCTGATATTAAAGGTCATGAATACTATACTACTGTTTGCAATCCTCACACTTATCATATGCACCGTACGTACGGGCGCTCAGACCTCCAGCCCATCGTCAACATCAGACACTCCTACCCCTACCAACCCCTCGAACCCCACCAACGCATCCAACCCTACCATCACTGGCAACAACAACAACACCACCACAATCGGCACTAACATCACAACTGACACTAACATAACCGGCCCTACAGTCAGTCCCACTCCTATAACCATCACTACAACAACTATCAAACCGTTTACAACTGGATTCACGCCACGGGACCCGTCGTCGACCGCGGGCTGGGTATCGGTGATAGGGCTGTACGCCATCGATGCGGTCATTATCGTTGCGGTGATCGGCGCCCGTAAACTGGCCGACCGTTATCTGCCCGCTAAACCGGCGCCGACCTCTACCGCTGTCCGTCGGTATCTAATTATTGGTAGAAAGCGTGAGAAAGCACTCATTACGGGTA